TAATCTTCCTCATGAAAGAAAAAAATCTCAATTCCATTTTTTCCACTAGTGACTGCCCCATTTCTTTGCTTCCTTTTTCTCCTTAAAGAATTGTCTATACTTGCCTTTTCCAGTTTCTTTCCTTACATGCACTTTTAAAGCTATTTCAATCAGGCTTATATCCCCATTACTCCCCCAAATTTCACCCACACTGTCCTCCAGTCTTCACTTATTTGGTCTTCATCCTCAGCCGACAGTTGATTGCTGCCTACTCCTTGGGAATTTTATCTTTACCTGGCTTCTAGGACACCACATGCTTGTGTTTTTCCTACGTTAGTGGTTGTTCCTTTTTACTCTCCTCTGCTGATTTTTCTTCCCCCAGGCCTCGTACAGTTGGAGTGCCCAGGGTCACTTCTTCTCCTCTCTAGTTATACTCATTTCCTTAACAGTGATCTTAACAGTCTCAAGAATTTGTGTGGAATACATGCCTATGGCTCTCACATTTATGTTTTTAAACCAGAACACTTTCCCAAACTCTTTACTTCTTATACCCAATTGCCTCCTCAACATCCCCATTTGGATGTTTAAGAGACACCTTGGATGTTTAAGAGAAGCTTAACATAGCCATGCCCTCTGGATCTCCTCCTCACCGCCCCCCCCCAAACTTGATCACCTTCAGCCTCTCCCATTTCAGGTGATAGAAACGTCATCCCTATGGTGGCTCAGGTCAAACACCTTGGAGCATCTTTGATCCTCTTTTTCTTTCATACCCTGAATCCAAATTCTGTTGCTTCTACCTTCAAAATATATCCAGAATCTGGATACCTCTTCCCACCTTGACTGTCATCATCCTAGTTAGAGCCACCTCCATATCTTGCCTGCATTTCTGCAATATCTGCCTAGCTGGTTTCTCTGCTTCAACATTGGCCAAGGTCTCTTTTCAGACAGCTGTTAAGGTAATCTTTATAAAATAGAAGCCAGAAAACATCACTGCTCTGCTCACCCTCTTTCAGTGGCTCCCACTTCACTTAGGATAAGAGCCACAAGCTCTAGCCTGACCCACAAGGTCCTATAGGAACTCAGTCTTTTCCTCCAACTCCTTCTCTTGCTCACTCTACTCCAGCCTTAGTTACATCCTTCCTAGTCCTCGAACATTCTAGGCCTTTGTTCCGTCTGTTCTCTTTGCCTGGAATGGTCTTCCTCCAGAGATCCACATGCCTACCTCGCTCACTTCCATGAGCTTTGCTCAAGTATAACTTCTTATAAAGGGGCTGCCCTCACCTCTCTGCTTAAAGTTGCAACAAGAAGTCCCCAACCCCACCCTCACACTACACCACCTAACCCTGCTCTATTTTCTCCCACAACACTCGATATTCCCTAACATATTATATCCTTGACTCGTTTATTATTTTTATTCCTTTGGTCCCCTTCCCCCGTCTTATGAGGGCAGGCATCTTTATTTTGTTCACTGATATTCCCTGACTCATATTACAAAGGCACAAAATTGTGGCTCAAAAGATAATTGTTGAGTGAATGTAAAAAAATCTATTAGAATTTGACCTGAGTGGCCTTTGATTAGAGAGGGGAGGAATGGCATTTGCAGGCTGACAGAGGGAACACCTGGGAAACATACATGTGTGTGCTTTGAAAGGTGGTAAAATGAGGAAAAGCACAGAAACATCCATATCTCACAATTTTACTTAAAGATCATCCTGTAAATTTCTTCTCACATGAAATATAAATTTTTGCACCTCAACATTAAGCCCCATTTTGCTTTCATTTCCTCTCTGTACCTCATCTGGCTTCTCCTACTTGGGGGAAAGTTTCTAATGCAGACATTTCTTCTCTTCGGAATTTTCTTGAACTCTCTGACGGCAGCCTGAAAGTCTTTTATTATATGCCACATTTTTATTTTTGGAAAAAAAATTGTCTTATAGGTGTCCCTTCGCTTTCATTTCCTCTTTTCTCTCCATTTGACAATTAAGTTTCAGTTACTCTAATTATAGTTTATCTAGGTAATATAACACAGAATTTTTTTCCTCTCCATCTTTCTTCTGAGAGTAAGTATTTTGTGGAGCTGGTAATTCTTAGATGAAACAGATTTTCTAATTAGGAGTCCTTAATAAGATGGAAATAGGAAAAAAAAAAGATGGAAATAGGAATGAAGTAAAGTTTATTACAATTAGTGAGTTTTGCTAATTTCTGATGAAAACAATATTACCAGTGAGAATTTGAGTCTGGCTGGTTGACAGGCCCTTTTCAACTTTGCAAGAATTCCCTGCAAAGCTGGGAAATTGACCAGCATCCTTATGAAGAAGGTGTACTGACTAGAGAATTGTTTTTAAAATCCTGTCTTCCTTCTACAACTTTGTATTCCCCACCTTATCATAATAGATTCTAGGGAGTAAGTTGACAGGAAAAAGAGTTAACCTAGCAGGCCTGAGGCTGCTATTTTTAGAAGAATCTGCTATCAAAATTGGCCCTTGGTTTGTATCTGGGAACTCAGCTTCTAAAACATTCCTTACATTGATAAGAAAACTTGCCTGATCAATGAGAGTGCTTTGCTGTGCCTAGACTATGTAAACAATGTGATTTATCATGAACATCTGCTTTCCTTCTAGAAGTCTGGTATTTTGGTAGTTACTAGGCAGAAGGTGCCTATGTGACCAGCTCTCAATAAAAATCTGTCTCTAATGGGCTTCTCTGGGAAGCAATATTACATATTTGTTGCATTTTTATAGCTGGAGAAAGGAGCACTCCGTGTGTCTGCTCCCAGGCTTTGAAGGAGTGTTACTGTGATCAATCTTAGCCACGAGTCCTACTATAAGGTGAGTCCTGTGAATATTTTCAGTGAGTCATCAAACATATGGGTGGTCCTGGGGACACCCAAAACAGCAGGAATAATGCCAAATACTCCTCTCCACAATTTCTTTGATCAAACAATACCAGTCTTCATGTCTTAGAAGCGCTCAGGAATTCACTCTTGAGGTATTTATTAAAATTTCTTACTAGAATTACACAAGATCCAGAAGGCTGACTGAAGCCAGCAGCTGGGATAGGGTCACACAGTAAAATTCAAAAGTAGTAAGTTCAAAATCTAGTGGGTTAAATTTATCAGAGTAGGAAAAAAATTAGGAAAAAGAAACAGGATTTAATACATGCGAAAGGAAAATAATTTACACGGAAATTAGGGGTATATAGGAACACATTAATTCGTTATTTTAATTAAGCTAATGTTTATTTAGCACATATGTCAGTAGGCAGATGGCTTACGCTCTTATTTGGTAGCTGGATATCATGGGGTATTAGAATCTTTAAACTAGAATTCGTAAACTTAAATGCCTGGAAGAATATACAGTTAACGTAAATGCACAGTGCAGGCTATTTACAAGATAACAGCCACTAAGCTCCTCTAACACCTTCTAGTTACTGCCTTTAAGCTCCCAAAAAGTATAAGTGAAACAAAGTGGAGGCTACCCATGACAACTGTGTTTTCCACTCTGCCCTAAATTGTGGTCATCAGCATTTAAGGAAAGCTGTCAATCATTGTTATTGACAGATTCTATCACATAGATTATGGATTTTAAGTACTTTAAAAGTAAAGAACATCAAACTGGCATGGGATTGAAGTGAAGGAAAAACAATCTATAGCTAAATGTTTTGGGATATTACTATTTGTGGTAAAGGAGAATCACGTACAGCAATCTTCTGGGAGAAAAAAGAGAAGATCTAGCCTGGCTTGCCATAAGGATCTATGCTTGCCATTGTCGGAATACTTCTTTTTAAATCAACATTTCATTCTATTCCCATCTTCCACTTACTTTTCTTCAGCCAGTTATTCTGGTAAATCATGGATAAATAGCCCATGCATAGCAACCCACACAGTTTTGACATTTCTGAAAGGTACCATGTAAGAAAATTTAAGCCAGAGTGCTTGAATAAAAGTTTCTTAGATTTTTAACACACAGCCAAAAATCTGAAGCGTAAGAGAAAACCTGCAGTTTTTTACTTAAAGGAGGTCATTTAGCAGGGTCATCAAAAGCACACATTTACTTTGGCCTCAGACTGACATTGGCTCAAATTTCTCCTCTACATTCTTGTGTAATCTTGGAGAAGTTGCTTAGCCTCTGTAAAGTTATTATTATTTTCTTTGCCTTTTCTCCCCAGTACATAGTTGTATATTTTAGTTGTGGGTCCTACTAGTTGTGGCATGTGGGATGCCACCTCAACATGGCCTGATGAGCGGTGCCATGTCTGCGCCCAGGATCCGAACTGACGAAACCCCTGGCCTCCAAAGCAGAGCGCACGAACTTAACCACTCGGCCACGGGGCCGGCCCCTGTGAAGTTCTGTTTCCTCAGCTGTGAAATGATGATGACCCAACCCACTTGATAAGGTTATAGGGATTATATACGTAAAGTGCCTAGCACATCATAGGCAGCCAGTAAAATATGGTAGTAGTGGTGGTGGTGGTGATGATAATGGTGGTGGTAGTGATGATGATAATGGTGGTGGTGGTGGTGATGATGTAATGGTGGTGGTGGTGGTGATGATAATGGTGGTGGTGGTGGTGATGATGATGGTGGTGGTGGCGGTGATGATGTAACGGTGGTAGTGGTGGTGACGACATAATGGTGGTAGTGGTGGTGATGGTGTAATGGTGGTGGTGGTGATGGTGTAATGATGATAGTGGTGGTGATGATGATAATAGTGGTGGTGGTGATGTTGGAAGAGATGGTGGTGATGCAGACCCAAGGAATGCTTCAGAACTTTTAAAAAGGCAGTGGAAGTTTTCTTCAAATGTACTCATAAGAAGAAAACCACAGTAAAAACAGATAAACAAGGGTTGCTCAAGGGTATGGGGGCACGAGATCAGCCTGCGCAGTCATCCCTTCTCCCTCCCAGCTGCCCACCTTTGTGGTCCAGCAGTTTACCATGGAACCCTTAGCATTCAGCCAAACATAGCTTGAAAATCTATGCCAAGAGACTGACAAAGAAATGGCAAGATAATCTTTTGCTTACTTTAGATCTAAGGGAGGTTTAATGTTTCTGGGAGGTAGGCTTGGGACTGGCGGTTGTGATGGGTGAGATGCTGGCAATGGCGGTTGGCTGGCTGGATGGGATGGTGGAGGCGGTGGTAGGGAAGTTGTTGAGTAAGACGTTTGGCTTTTGCTGGTACCTGAGAAGTGAAGCAAACAATACCATGAATTAAGACAAATCCTTAAAATATAAGAACTGTCTATTCCAAGTATGCAGAAATGAGGATCTTAAATATAAAAATGTAAGAAATGCATCCCAAGTTTAATTAATGCTTTAAAGAATCTAATATTTGAAGTATTATGGTACAAGCCCATAATGTTTAAATGTTCCATTTTTATTTTTTCCCTAAGCTTTATTGAGGTATAATTGACAGATAAAATTGTAAGCTATTTTGAGAGATTTAAAGTGTATAATGTGATGATTTGATATACGAATATATTGTGAAAGAATTCCCCCCACCAAGTTAATTAACACATCCGTCACCTCACATATTTGCCTTTTTTGTTGTTTTTGGTGAAAACATTTAAGTCTTATTCTCTTAGCAAATTTCAATCATACAATATAGTGTAATCAACTACAGTCACCATATTTTACATTAGATCCTCAGATCTTATTCATCTTAGAGCTGAAAGTTTGCTCACTTTTACCAACCTCTCCATATTTCCCCCACCCCCAACACCTGGCAACCAATTTTCTACTGTTTCTATGAGTTCGACTTGTTTTTTCAAGATTCCACATATAAGTGATACCATGCAGTACTATATTTGTCTTTCTCTATCTTGCTTACTTCACTAAGTATAACGCCCTCCAGATTCATCCATGTTATCACAAATGACAGAATTTCCTTCTTTTTTAAGGCTGAATAATATTCCGCTGTATATATACACTTGATCTTCTTCATCCATTTACCTGTTGACGGACACTTAGATTGTTTTCATACCTTGGGTATTGTGAATAATGCTGCTATGAACACGGGAGTGCAGGTATCTCTTTGAGATAATGATTTTGTTTCTTTTGGATCATGCGGTGGTTCAATTTTTAATTTCTTGAGAAACCTCCATACTCTTTTCCATAGTGGCTGCACCAGTTTACATTCCCACCAACAGTGCACAAGGATTCCCTTTTCTCTACTTCCTGGCATTTGTTATCTCTTATCTTTTTGATAATAGCTATCCTAATAGGCATGAGGTGATATCTCATTGTGGTTTTGATTTGCATTTCTGTGATGCTTAGTGATGTTAATAAATGTTCCTTTTCTTGAGATAGATAAGTTCTTTGAGTTTAATTTGCACTATTAAAAACAATTTCTCTTACCTTGTTAAGGAAAAACACTTGTTAAATCTAGGTGTAGAATATATGGGTGAAAAATTTCATAATAAAAAATAAAAAACAAACAAGCAAAAAAGAATTTCTCTTATCTTTTCAAAGCTTTTGTAAACCTTCGTTTCAGTATTCTGGATTTTGTAAATAAGCCTACAACAATTTTAATACCATATTCTCTGTGATTTCACAAATGTAGATTATTTTTCATTTGACCCATTATTTTAGACCACAGAGGTTTAGTTTTTGTATCTACTCTCATGGATCATGTATTCTTACTTGTATTCGATGATCTCCTTGAATCTTTAATGAGACGATAAGTTTTGTTTGAGGTGTTATTTCTAACATCTGTTGCCAATTTTTTTTTTCTTCTTCTCCCCAAAGACCCCTGGTACATAGTTGTATATTCTAGTTGTGAGTGCCTCTGGTTGTGCTATGTGGGACGCTGCCTCAGCATGGCCTGGTGAGCGGTGCCATGTCCGCGCCCAGGATCCGAACTCTGGGCCGCGGAAGCAGAGAGCGTGAACTTAACCTCTCGGCCATGGGGCTGGCCCCTGAGGTGTTATTTCTAAATATTGAAACATTAAACAATCTCACAAGTAAATCACATATATTGTAGAAACTGTAATATGGGGGCAAGAAAAACTAAACAAATATGAATTGTTCATAATCCCATCACCCAGCAATACCTACAGAGTTAGATGTATTTTAAAACATTTTAGGGGATGGCCCGGTGGCGCAGCGGTTAAGTTCGCACGTTCCGCTTCTCAGCGGCCTGGGGTTCACCGGTTTGGATCCCTGGTGTGGACACGGCACCGCTTGGCACGCCATGCTGTGGTAGGCGTGCCACATATAAAGTAGAGGAAGGTGGGCACGGATGTTACCTCAGCAGGCTTCCTCAGCAAAAAGAGGAGGACTGGCAGTAGTTAGCTCAGGGCTAATCTTCCTCAAAAAACAAAAAAGCATTTCAGTGCAAATATACACTTTCATGGGATGGGAGCAAAATGGGACCATTTTGCTATTTTGCTACCAGCTTTTTATTTTTCTCAATATTCATAAATACCTTTCCAGGTTAATATAATTACAATGTAATTTTTAGTAATTGGACAACTTTTCTTTATGTAGCTCTACCACAATTTAAAAAAATTAGGGATCTAATATTGAATATTTGTACTAATTCCTTTCTTTGTTTCTGTAAGAAAAAATGGCTTAGTCTTTGTACATATCTTTAAAGTTTTTTCTTACAATAAATTCCGTTAAGCAGAAATTCTGGATCCAATAACCTTTTTTTAAGGCTTTTGATACAAAAAAATCAAATTATCTTCCAGAGAAACATGAGCTGCCAGCTTCATCAGTTAGTATATGAGAGTGCCCATTTTTGTATTTCTTTGCCAACACTGCCATTATTATGTTTTGAACCTTTGACAATGTTATGGAAAAAAATCTACCTTCTTGTTTTAATGTCATTTTTATCAAACTAAAGTATACTCAGGAATTAACAAGTCAGTGACAAATAACATAACAACAATAAAAACAAAAATTGTTAGTTTTCTGTTCTCCCCCCTGGAGGCAATCACTGCCAACATTTTACATTTCTTTCGCATTTAGCTCTCTCTCTCTCTAATCTTTTTAAAAACCATCAATCAAGCCATATACATATATATATGTACATATATAAAGATTATTATTATTATATAAAGATTATTGACTTTCCATTTGGTAGATGTGAAATTTTGCTCTCTTCCTTTCCCTTTCCAATACAGCAAGAGCATGAGGTTTTTTGATTAAAACCATATTCATTGTTTTTGCAGTCATGACTAGGTAAATACTGTTCTTTGCTGAGTCAACTGGTGTACTATGATTACATTTTCTTTCTCATTCAACTTACTGTTTTCCTGGAGTTAATAATTGCCTCATTTTGTCATTTGCAATGAGTTTTCTTTGGAATTCTTTCTTCTTACAATTTCCAATATTTATAAAATGTCTTTAAACATATTCTACAAAATTCAACTTGTTGGATGATTGATAAGGTCCAATGTGTGGTCTCTATCCACTTGCTCTAATCTGACCTGGTTGCCTTCAAGGTCTGCCACATGGCTGTCATCCTGGGACTTCTCTTTGCCAGCATAAAGGTTCTGATGTATTAAGAGAATGCATTGTGATAAGAGTGCAAGCCCTGGAGCCAGGGCATCTGGGTTTAAATCCTGGCCCCACTACTTACCTGCTGGGTGACTTAGATAAGTCACTTCCTGGTTTAATCTGTAAAATGGAGATAATAATAATGCCACCTCACAGGGTCGTGGTGAGGACTTACGACTTAACATATGTAAGGCACTTAGGACAGTATCTGGCATATAGTAAGCTCAACATTTTTTGTTCAACAAATATTCATTGAATGCCTACCATATGTCAGGCTCCATTCTAGGCACTAGGAACACAATAGAGAAAAAATAGAAAAAAACATGTGCTCTTATGAATTTAGGGAGATATAGCTGAATATAAGTAAAATACATATGAAATTATGGTGAGAAATTCTATAAATGGTGGGAAGATATATAAGGGTGTACTATTGGCATCTCTTCCCAACTCTGCATTCAGTGACCTCACCATGGTAGACTGAACTTGGACACGATGGGAGTATTTACCTCATGGAAATCAACAAGAATCACAAATTTGGGTTTGATTTATTGTTTTGTTGATTATTAGATTTAAGAGAGTGATAGAGGAAATGCTGACAATGCAGATTAAATTTAAAATGTGCCATTTCTGTAGTCATTACATTGTGAAATAGCATAAAACATTGAGGAAATATTTTTCCAGTATTTGAAAACTATTATACAGCTCAGCAAAGTAGTCACTCACATGATTGGCAAATGAGTGAAGTTCTGATATATATCTTTGTTGGTTCACATTTGCCTTTTTAACATAAATGAAAAAATCAATACTCAGGTTGGAAATATACTCCTTCATTAATGGCAACCATAGGTTGGCTACAGATGTAAAAATCAACAATTGGCTATAATGAACTTTTAATAAAAAGTATTGTATATTTTATTATTATTTGTATATTGTGTGCTACACATCCTTTATATCAATAAAATTTATTACATGTATGTATATATACATAACACACATACACAAAGTTTTCCTAGAGAACTAATTCAACATTTACCAGCATACCATTGCTTATACCTAGAACATTCCTAGGTTCTGTTGGCTTTATGGTGAATAGAATTACTTGTCTCTGTATGTATCTCCCTCCTTTGCTTTGACCCTTGTTCTGTCTGTCATTCCTCCATTTACTTTCGGATTTCATGTTTCGATATTATGTTGTGGAATTATGCACGTTTCCTGACTTCCCTGAATATGAAATTTGTATTTCTTATCTTCTTTGTTTTGAGGCAAGTTTTTGAGAGAAAAAGAGGATGCCCACTTGAAAAATATTTTGTTTTAATTTTACGTCTTTGAGCACTAATGATGTCATTTTTTTTCATCTCTATAACCATGCTTTCATTTTAATTATATTATTATTCAAATCCTTTGCCTATTTTTAAAATGGTACTTGCTTTTTCTCGGTGGCTTACAAACCTCTTTGTTAAAGATCTTAATCTTTTTTCCTCTTACATGGACAAACTGAACATCATCATTTGGCTGCCTTGGCCCCTCCCTCTGTATGTTGATCCCAAAACAAAAAAAACCCAAACCAGAAAACAAGACAAGACAAAACAAAAATCAAACTATGCCCCAACCAAAGAAACCTTCAAAAATCTTCAAAACCTTTGAAGAAAATGGAATATTTTACTGTAAATTTCCTTAAAA